GATAAAAGGAACTAATTCAAAGGCTTGATGTAAAATACAAAGATTTAACAAGTTGTTTATCATTTAATTCCCAAATGTTAGTTTGTACATATAAATAATTAGTATTGGTAGCTGTAAGTTGTTTAAGCAAAACAGAAGAGTAGTAGTGCTCGAAGGGGTTAGCATTTTTGAAAAATTATATCTTGTTCATGACATATATTACACAATTCCAAAAAACTGTAAGTAATGCACAATAATATCTATAAAACTTGATAAATTTCTTCACCTACACTGTCAAATAACTATTTTGCCTTCATGCAGCAATAGACAGTGTTTTTGTCAGAGAAACCAATGCACTTTAGTTTCCAAGTTTGTAATTTCAATGGAAAATTAATGTAGTTCTGTTCAGTAATAGATCCAAGATTCTGCCAAGCTGTTTACAAAATACAAATTACCAAGCAACAGTGTCATGGTGTTTTGAATTTTTTCCTTTTTTGTAGCTCTTCTAGTTCAACATACTTTCTTTATGAGTTTTCAGTAGATTTATCAGGTAATGACAATACACTTATGATACTTATCCATGGTAAACTTTCAGTTGACTTATGTCGTTGGACTGAAGCAAACATTTTCTCGCTTCCTTAGGAGCATTTTTACACAGATTTATCCATTTGAAGCAAGAAAAATAGGTGCACCAAACTGTTTACAAACAGTCAAACACACAAAAGCATGAAATAATGTATAAGTTTGACGAGATTGACAGGTCTAGTAAAGAATGCCGTTTGATTTTCACTTTTAAAAGGCTAAAATGTCATAAAATAACTTAAATGTTGCGTTCCTCTACCGTCGATCCTCTTTATTTTGATGTGTGTCTGTACTGTGTTTTTCACGGAATGCTGAAGCATTATTTTCACATGATATGCTGTCGGTATCGTAATTGGGTTTTTTTCTCACTTGTTTTCGTTCATACAAACAGTATTAGAAATCAGGAGGGAGTGAATATTGAAAAAAAATTTTAAAGTGGAAGTTTTGACCACCAAAATCCGCCATTACTGCCATGTTTTTGACCACGAGGCCCAGGCCCCTTTGCCCCTCCAGGTCTTATAGAGCTCAATGGTTATTCCAGGTCAATTGAAATTCAACTGGTCTGGTTACCAACGAGATATTCATTGGATTAGTTATTAGTTTTCAATAATAAATAAAGCTGGATTTTTATCACGAAGTAAATGCGATAATAAAGTAAGAATAATTAATGATTTTTAATTATTATGAATAGTAATTTTTGAATTTCAAACATCAGTCGCGCGACGGATTTGACATACTCTAGATCCGCCCCTGGGTCAGATTTCTCCCATTCAACAACTTGTTCATTGTGGAAGTGAGTTCTACCATCAAGTCCATTTTGTTTCTTAAATTGTCTGGCCTTCTTTAAAATCTTCTCTTCGTCCGAGTCTATTTCAACTGATTTCGATGAAGATGAACCCACAATATGCAAAAAAATTGAAACTTCGAGAATTCTCTCGTTAAATTGCGAACAATTTCGTCCAAGTTAAACGTTATAGTTGTTACAAAGCTTACAGCAAGCTGCAGGGTTTCTGTTCTTTTCATTATATGATAAATAGTTCCTGGAATATGATGCAATAAAAATAAATGAAAGGGCTTCATTCTAAAAAAGTACAAGGAAGAAATTATCTAATTATTCAAGTATATCTGATCACAGTTTTGCAGTTGGAAATCTATTTATTGCCATTCGGGTGAATTTATCAGATCAACCTGTTTCCCGTCTATTTTTGAAAGGAAATATATCGAATCCCATGGGACGATATTACTATAAATTTTCTTTGAAAGCTTTTTATATCTTCATTGGTCAGGAAATAAAGAGTACATTTTATGTAAGTACCTCTCAAGAAAAGTTAAAAATAGTTTTTATTGAAATAATAAAATATTACTGTCAAGTATAATAGCAACATTTTACTTGTCAAGAAATATCACACAATTCGCGGAATGGACTTCGTATGAACTATATGATGTCAGCAAAAGTAAAGCACTTTGATAAATATGAAAATTGCGAGTCTTTTTTCAGTCATGTAAAAGCTGGCTGATTTTTGACTGTCAATTTTTTGAAGCATTGAAGTAGCAAAGATAGATTCTCATGGAAGACATCTCTTTACGATATGAACAACTGTCTTCAGTTGAACGGTTGAAGTAAAGTCCTTCTTCAGAGGGTTGAATCCAAGATTATTGAATTCTTCAATTAGCTAATGAGGGATTCAAAACGCTGAATTTAAAAGTCTATTTAAGCTTTTGAAAATCACTTCTTGTTGCATAAAATTAACTTTACTTGCAAAAAGGTTATTCGTATCGAGCACATAGAAGCTTTTTAAAAAAGACGATTTGAGTTTGCTTGAGACTTCATATTTCTAGTGCAGACCAAAGTCACAATAACATACAGTCTGTAGCTACAGAGGGTCCAAAGGGAGTTGAATCGACGTCAAACTAATTTGCTGTGTTTACTGCTTACAAAGTTTCAAAGACACTTGTTATCAGATTTTGAAGGTCATATCGAGTTCAACTACGACCAGACTTTTCATTCAACGAGAACCATATCTGTCGAGCTTAAATTTTTTATGAATTGAAATTTTCGTACTCTTTTCTATTCGTTTAAACATGTATTTAGATTTTGGCAAGCAGTTTGATGTATTTATGACCATTATACGTTGAGTCGAAGTTGACAAATTGTAACTCCGAAGTCGTCCTGTAGAGCATACTTTTTTTTGGCCGATTTTTTTGCTCATTTGACGTCATAAGTAATACGGAAGTCGACAGTAAAATAGTAGGAAGCTTTAGCAAAGACTACAAGTACGACTCAGGGAACTCGACATTTGAATAACTGGAATGATAACCGAAGCCAAAAAATATTTGTTGTCATCATTCGTCATCACACGTCAGGCTCTAGTCTCTCGCGTGTTCATTTTATTTTTTTTAAATCATTTGTCCCTTGGTAATGGTAGAGTTCGGATCTTGATCAGAGCGTAAAAATAACGTAATTTTTGGAATGAAAAGGTTCACGGAAAGTGAATCAAAGTGATAAATCGAGAAGCAAGATGAGGTGAACTTAGTCGATCTGCTCTTACGCTGCGGTTTTCCTTTAAAACTTATCAAAGTCTTTAAGGATATTCAATTATGGATATCGAGATGACAACCATTTAGTATTTCAAGTTTCAAGCACTATCAAAATCGATGAAAAATACAATCGCTCTGTAAAAAGTAAAAATGCGAGTTATAGACTCAATATTTTTTATGAAACTGGATATTCAAGCTTCTTTTTTATTCGGAAAAACAGATCTTTAAATCCACTTAAATGACAAAAAAGACAAACACTGTCTGACACCGTTTGAAAGTTTACCTTCCGACGAAAGACAAATGTATGCTTGAATATTTTCTAGTCATATTTTCTATTGTATTGTCTTTTTAGGAAACAGTGTAATTTTCAGTTGGCTTTTCCTCGTTACAAGTTGTAAGTTACAACGAACTCACTGTAGTAAAGTTTCAGCTGTAAAAAATAACCTTTTGCGAAGAGTTGGCCTCGTGTGTTGTTTGTCGTGATGTTGTTTATATGTTTATGCTTTTGCAATTTGTATTCAAATTTATATTGGCCGTGTATGTCTGGCACTCAGGGGAATGAAACTGACGTACAAACCGCGTGAATATTCGACTTTGAAGGACTGGAGCTGACGTACAAACCGCGCAAGAGACTAGGACTTTGGCTTCAATTTTATATCTATAAAATGTATTGTCGTTATCATTCCAGATATATATATATGGAGTTCACTGGTACGACTACGAGTACGATTTACGTCATTTTGGCGCGAAAACATTATTGCGACAACAGCAACACGTAGCCGTCATCAATCTGAGTACGATGTTTCGTAAAAAATTCGTAGTCGCGACTACGATAATTTTTTAAGCAAAGAAAGTAGATGTATTTCTTCATTCTGTAAGAAATTGCTGACAGTACTATTTTCGAGCATCCAGGCTTTAATTTAGAAACTTTTTTGAGCGCAGATGTACATTAAAAAGGAAAATATGACCTGCAAAACTTTCATCTATTTCGTACGCAAAGTGAAAGGTAAACAAACAATAAAGTAGTACAAATATATCGTACATAAAACTTAAAATAGTGAAGATTTCTCAGTCCAAAGAGTCCTATATTCTTGCAAAATCAGTATTACCGATTTGTTGATATCATTACTGACAAATAGAGCCGTAGCTGCTTCGCAAACGTCGGTATTTTTCACAATAAAAGGCTCGTTCTGTTGTTTATAGCTAAAACAAAATTTTGACGAAGCGACAACGACAACAAACCTCCTCGTGCCATTCCCTTACACGGTCAAACTTCGTACTCGTTGTCGTAGTCGTACTCTTGCTAAAACTCCCTAATATCTATTGTCATGTCGAGAATGTGTATTCGCAATGACGTCAATGCAGCAAACATGGCTGCCAAAAAGATTACACAGGAATTGTTTAAAAATTAAAATGGTCAAAAATAGCCACTTTTGACGGTAATAAAATCTGTTTGAAAATACCAACTTCATATCTGTTTGCGTAAAAATGATTTTGTGTGTGTACTCGCTTTTGAATTAGCCAATAAAACAGAATAAAAATACTTCACTGCACTTAAAGGCCACAAATTATGTTTTATGTTTTATATTCAAGCTTATATTTATTCTTTTGGTATTCACAATCCGTCAATTTTTGCCTAAACATACATTTTGCTTTCAAAAATGTTTTTGTTGCTTATTTGCGCATTTCAGGAAAGCAAAAGTCAAAAGATAAAAAGGAAAATTTGCAATTCGCAATGCACACAATAACCACAATTTAACTCGTTGATACTTTACTGAAGTATTTAAAGGTTTACCTGAAGAGAGAGACCACCATATGATGATTAATTGATCATTGATGGCACGCGTTCTCATGATAAAATAAAATTTCTCTCAATAACACTTGATAAAGACTCAGTATAGTGTACGTGATTCGATGGATGTTTAACTTTGCGATGTATTATTTCACATCGAATACACTTGAAATTTGTCGTTTGCTGTAAATTTAGTGTAACAGCTCTTGAATTGAGTTGTGTTTTTTGTAGAAAATATTGCCTTGAAAACTGTCCAGCAATTGATTTTCGCAACTGCAGAGAATTCAAAGTACGTCTGTAGCTCTGAATTTAGTGTCAGTGAACTGATTTCAGTTCACAAATACAGTCCCGTTATGTAAATGAAAAGCATTATTATTCATTTCTAAAAAATCTTTTGTTTTCGAACGAAGGAAATACAGAAAAATTTGCATAAAAGGATTAAATATTCAGGCTGGCAATACTAAATTGTAAATTCTTTATGCACAAAACGTGCTTCAAACCTTGTCATTTAAAACAGCTCGCTATACTTCACTTACCTTTTCGTCATGATTATTTTTCTTTTTCAGAATATAAAGCATTATATATTTCTTGTTCGATCTGTTAGGTAAGTTTGATTACTAATAAATTTCTTTGGGATTTGGATGTAATAAATTCTTATTCCATACATAACATACAAGATCATCTTTTAAACTGCTAAAATATTGACTACATCTTTTATTAAAATTATCCAACATGGCGGCTATGACGTAACTAGCAGACCATGCTAAGGAATGGGAAAATAAAGTTTTTCAAAAAAGGATAGCAAACAAGAATTAACGGGCAGGTGCAAAAATTCGCCACATAGCTTGTGTACTCTTGCTTAATGGACGGGTTTTTATTAGTCAATAAGATTATCAAAACGGTAGTCAACATCAACACTGAACAACAGTCCTTCTCAGGACTTTAATAAAACGCACACGATCTACATCTACTAACATGCTGGTTCTCAGAAAGTCGTCCGAGTTGTTTGAGTCGTCTTAAATGAGCCATTTCAGTCGCGTTGATAGAGCACCATCCAATGAGCTTGCGTTCTAGAGGTGACTGAAACGAGTGAATCTACTTGGATTAGTATTTGCAAATCACGCTTTAATTTTCTAATTTTCTAAGGATGTTGTCAACAAAATAAAAAATAGAAAATTTCGTGCGCTTGATTTTAACCTCAAATTTCGTGAAAAGTCAATAAAGAATTACAGAAAAATTGAATCTTCGTGTTTTTGTCATTAAAAAAACACCCTAACAACTATATTTTTAATGGCAAGATTTTATACTATGTGCATTTATTAATTTGAGATGAAACATGAGATATAGAGATATATTAAGTTGAGATTAATATGTTTCGTGCTGTCTACTGATTGACTTAGCAATATTTCGTAATGTGGAAAACATTTTGGAAGTTAGTTCTTGCATGCAAGTTGATTTTCCAAATTGTTAATGCAATCTATGAGATAATTATACGCCCATTGCACTTTAGCAGGTGAATTTCCAACAGACTCTGGTTTTCTTTCCTCGCTGTTTTCTTCATCTATAGAATTTCCAACAGACTCTGGTTTTCTTTCCTCGCTGTTTTCTTCATCTATAGAATTTCCAACAGACTCTGGTTTTTTTTCCTCGATGATTTCTTCATCTATAGAATTTCCAACAGACTCTGGTTTTCTTTTCTCGATGTTTTCTTCATCTATAGAATTTCCGACAGACTCTGGTTTTCTTTCCTCGATGTTTTCTTCATCTGTAGAATTTCCGACAGACTTTGGTTTTCTTTCCTCGATGCTTTCTTCATCTATAGAATTTCCAACAGACTCTGGTTTTCTTTCCTCGATGTTTTTTTCATCTAAAGAATTTCCAACAGACTCTGGTTTTCTTTCCTCGATGTTTTCTTCATCTGTAGAATTTCTAACAGACATTTCTTTCTTGAGCTCTTGTTCTATTTCTTTAAGGTGTTCATTCTTGAGGAGCTCTTCTTCTTTTTTTCCAAGCTGTACAAACACACGATGATATCGAATGACTTCTTGCAAAATCAGATTCTTAAAGACTTCAGGCTCAGACTCAGCAATCATCAGTAAAACAATTACTTTGGATAATTCATCTAAAAAATAAATAATAATAATGAACACAAAAATTGCTACAACCCTCCCCCCGTTCTATAGTTATGTTAAAAAAGCAACATATTTCCTAATGGTTTAGTGATAAGCCTTCCTTTTAAAGTTACATTTTAAAGGTTGCAGTGAATAGCGAATGCATGTATATGTTTTTATTTAAAAACATCAAACAAACTATTTATTAGGTAGGTAATAAGGTGAATTCGTACTCAAAGATCTAACAAGAGAATGAAAAATTGTGCATGTATTTTTTCTAGTTTCCAGTGCAAAGTAACTATTTATAAAGTAATTGGAAAATAAATTATTGGGATTACTTTCGTCATATACTGGTAATACCATTATCAAAAAGCAAACAAACAAACAATTTACGCAAAAAAACCAATGATGTGGAACATGTGCCTCGATCGTTCAGTATTCAAAATATCATTGATTATTGTGTTTTAAAATTTTCCTTACATTTCACAAAACAAAAGACAAACTTTCAACAAAAAACTTCTTTCACAACGTCATACCTTTCAAAATGTTGGCTTTAATTCTTATTATTGTATGAGTTAACTTTTCCAAGGAATCAACAAAACTCTTTTTTTTTCCTTTAGATAACGCTTCAGCAATCGATTCCTTCAAACCTTGAAAATCGTATTTCTCTGTAATTTTATTGTCAATCAAGAAGATATCTTTTTCATCGTGAAGCGAATCTCCTAAGCTTTTCAAACAATTTTCCCTCATACGTTTCATGACAGATGCTTCATCAAACTTTGGTCCTTCGTCATCCTTCGCATTCTTGAGTTCGCTGTCAATGTTGGTGCGAACAAAAAAGAAAGGCTTTTTGAGCTCTTTTGAAACTTTCTCAGCCAACACTTTGTCATTTTGAGTGAATCGTGTTTTGCAAAAAATGAGAAAAGCGTCATACTTCTCCAGACCACCAACTTTCTTATAGTACTCTTTATAATTGGGGTATTTAGGTGTTCCAATACCAGGTAGATCCCAGAAAATAATATTTTCATGTTTTGGGTGTGAATATCTAGTGGGCTTATTTGTCATTTCTGTAACACCAACGGGTGCAGCCTCTTTCGCATGAGCTTCAATTCTGAAGGAAATAAGTTTTGTAAATTTAGTTATGTCAAGATATACTTGTCTGTTACCTTTTTAAAAGACCTCTCTATACTACATACGATTAATGTCTACCACATGAAATTAGCAGCTGTTTGGTTAATTGTACGAATAAAGTGCTTAAATCTTAGCAATTTTAAACATTTCATCCAGCGATTATCAAGCTTATGAAAATTACGTTTAACAACGTGGGAATATAACTATAGCAAACTGAAGACTATTACATATCTCTAAGAACAAAGACAATGTTTTCCAAACACATTAACCTATGTTGCTGGCTGTTATTGACACTTTTAATGTTTCACTGTTTAGTATAAATACAGCTTTTAAATCAATTTATTCAATACTTAAAGAAAAACATTTTTACCCTCTCACAGCGTTGATGAAAGACGATTTCCCTGTTCCAGAGTCTCCTGTTATGGCAAAATTAATCTCGGTGTCCGTCCACAAAGGAATTGAATCATTGCTGTAAAAATCCAGAATATTATCAACACCGTGTTTCTGAGCTTGTTGAAAGATTTTTTTGGTATCCTTAGTATTTACGAAAATGGCATAATTCAAATAATTCACAAACAAGTCTTTTCGACGTTTCATCAGCTTCAGGATGATATCTTCAATTAGATTTTTATTCATGAATTTGCTGTCAATTACGAAAATATCAGATTCATCCATAACCATATCTTTAACAAAGTCAAAGCAAATTGTTTTGATTTTTTTTAGCATAGCTTCCTTATCTTTCTTGACATTTTTTTTGTCGTCTTCAGCAAGGGTGCAAACAAAAATAAAAGGTTTGCGGAGATTTTTTGAAACATTTTCGGCTATTTTTTTCTCTATATCAGATATTCTTGATTTGACAAAAATGACAAATGCGTCAAAATTCTCAGCACAGGGCGACTCATCACAGCCAAAACAGCATCTTGATGGTAAACAACAAGATATTGAACAAGATACTGAACAACAAAGGCATGATGATGAAGAACAAGTTAATGTTTTGATGTCAGGTAAATCCCAGAAGATGATGTTTTTGTTTTTAGCATAACGATAAATTGCAGGATTCTTCTTTTTCTTTTTGTCAGATATAAGTCTATAGAAAAAGAATTGATAAATATACATTACTTTAAGAACTATATGAATTTTAATTTGGCAAAGAAATTGCACATACAAGTGTTATCAGTCACAAGAAACATACAAGATCACTTGAAGTTTTAAAACAACCAACAACAATAATGCAATAGATATTCCAACAGCGAACGTTTTTATATCTATAGTTGCGAGGAAGGATGAGAATACCAGTAGTGGATGCAGGATAAGAAAGAATGCATTAAATTGGATGCATTTCAAATTAAAATACTTTACAAACCCTCTTATTAATGATAATTTGATTTGGCTCTAAATTGCTTTTTAAGTTTTTTAATGAATTTCGTGTTGTTAGTATTTTAAATTTAAAACGAGCAGATGTAATGCATTCTGACTTACTCTGGACCATTCAACTGAGAATACTTTGTTCTTTCTGTAGGGGATGCATCTGTCGAGTTGTCGTGGCCATCTTCAAATCTACAAAGAATAAAATCTTTCAATATGATGTACTTTAAACGGTTAAAAACAAAATAAATGAGATGAACTTCCTCATTAACTTTTGTTTTAAATACGTTCGGTTCATGTAAAGTTCGACGTTCTAACTAGGCCTAAATGCACATTTTCCTGAGGATCGAAATTTGTTAAAGCTTAATTAAGCATTTCTAAGACATTTGAGTTACTTTGTGATGTGTCACACAAATATGTACAAATTGTCTCAAGTCAACTTTAGACTTTGAAGAACCTATGATTGCTTCTAAACAAGCTATTGCATTATTTGCTTCTTAAGGCAATAAGTGATAGAGTAATACCGGTTTAATATAACAAAAACTGCCACGAGGTCGAAATAGAGGAATATTTTGTCACGCTTTGTGCTTACAGAAGCAGATGCCATATGAATATTATGATAGACAAGTATACAAATTATTGTGGACATGGTGACTTTAATTCTTCATTTTATGCCTGGTATTTATTACATACTTTGGATGTGAATAACTGTTCATCGAAAGCTCATTTTACTAAGTTTGTCAAAGTATTTAGCACAGTGAAACGAAAACTATTTAACAAGCGGTCAAATGTCTGCGGTCGTTCTTATTGTTAATTAGACATCTTACCCAGTGAGAGCGTTGATGAAAGATGATTTTTCTGATCCGCTCAATCCAAGTAAACCAACATGTAATGGGGAAAGCTCACGATGCCACTTCTCGATTTGATTATTGTAGAATTCATTTATACCATTAAGTCCTTTATTCATCACTTCTTGTTCAGCCTCAATGATATAAATTTCTTCCTTTTCTGTTAATGTTAATGCTCGTTTAGAGAGGCATAAACCCATGTTGATAGATAGACAAGATCGTATTTATAGGAATGTTTCCGATGCTAAACGCTCAGCAAAGTAATTGAACGTTGAACTTTAATCATAACATTTGTAAAAAGTCGTTGAAAAGCAACAGTGGGGGTTCGCGTCCATTCTTAATATGGTAAATAGTTCCTGGAACGAATTATACATCACGGCCTAATCAAAAGTATAAGTGATGTATAACTTTCAAATAAAATATTCGAAATAAGGCCTTTTTGTAGATAAATTGTTACAAACATTAGATTTGTTGTAGGAGTCTAAACTCCTTAACAAATTATAAGATTTTACCTTTTGACAAAAAGCCTTTATCTGAAAATGCTATTGCTAAAGCAATACAAATGCTGTCAACGATTACTAGCAGCCATAAAATTAAACGTTAACACAACTTTGATTCCATAAAACTAAACATTAGACATAACTTTGCTTTTAACATCTAAGAAAAACGTCTTTAATATTCAAAAGGAAAATTAAGTCACGACCACATAAACACGTTTTGCAAAACAATTTCTTAATTGATTACTAAAAAACCTGCATGACCAGAACAAAAGTGTTGATTTGTCAATTTCTGATTGGATAACTTGTTGCATCATGTTTTCTAACAAAACCAAGGAACCATGTTTGATTATAAACCCTTCATCGTTTTTTCTGAATAGCTACAGCAAGCCCTTCATACTAAAATCACGAGGGTGCAGATTGCCAAATCGACTAAACGTAAGTAAAGTATTACCATTAAGAAAAGCGGAAAAGAAAGATTAAGGTTCTTGTGCGTAAAAAATTATCACCTAAATTTGAAGGATTTAACAAGTCAGCTCTCTGATACATATATTATAATGGCTGGGGAAAGCTCTTGGATACATACCACTGCCAAACTTGATATAGGATTTTAGAAAGAAGGACTGAGTCTTTTTGAGTCCCCTTCGAGGCTCAAACATTCCCCTAAATACAATCGTTCTGTTTGTCTTTGTGTCGAATGCCTAAAAATTTTACTGTGTATGTGTGGTATAAAGTATTTTTATCTTTCTGTAAATCATGCACGTATTTAAAACATTTGTCGTAAGATAAAAGTTACCTGATCATGCAAGACGTCAAAAGTGACCTTTGGACAAGGTATTATTATTCAAATCAGTGTGTCAATTATTTGAACTTTTGTCCAAATATTTATTAGTAGAGAAATGTAAAACTTTACTCGATACTTTTTATTTTAATATTCTAGCGATGAAAAGAAATCATTCTTGTATTTTAGATATTTTTATCATAAAGTTACAAATGAGATCCTTGTCATACTATGCTTTCAACGAAAGTCACGAAACACCACGCTTCCGACTGTTTACAAGGTTGAAAATTTGTTTAAATTTTGCAAAGATATCCTCTGTAACAGTCGTTATAAGCGTTTTTTGGTTCTTCGTTATCTCACCATTGCCAAAACATTTGGTCCTCAAATAAAATGATTTCAAAAAAGAGTGAAATTGAAATAGACTGAAAATCGGACTCATTTGACCTTTAACACCTGATAAAGCCTTGAATGAATGAATGAATAAAAAATTTTATTTTGACACGCTGGCCTCATCAACTGAAGTTAATTTCCATGAGTCAATTATTCGAACGAAATTTACCAATCAATAAAATAGCTACGGAGGTAAAAGAAGAGTTTAAATATTACAAAGTTTAACTTTGCCATAGATTGATCAAACATGCAAAACTCGTGTTAAAATACTTTTAATTTGTCAAAATGCTTAAACTGCTATATAAGAAAATAAATTTTTGACATGAAGTTTAAGAAAAATAACACCGTCTGCATAAAGACGTTTTAGGCAAGTTGCAACGTCGACTGCAAAATAAATGCATTTTAACTTAACTCGTTTTCACAGTATAAGGACGAGCCTGATAAGGTTTATGAAGATATGATTGAGTCATGGAATAGATAATTTTGGAAATAAAGGAAGCAAACCCGCATTTTAAAATATTTTCGTCTATTTTATCAAGATCAAGTTGTTATAATTAGTATTAATCGTGTTTTTAGGTTCAATTCATATTTTAATAGTCGGTTTCGATGAACAGTGTAGTTCAATAGAGATGTTCTTCGTTATATTTGGTCCCTACGTTTGCAAGACAACAACTTAAATATGAGCAATCTGATTAACAGAGAATAAAAATGTACACAAATTTTAGTGACTGGCGAAAAAATTCCATATACTGGCATAAAGACGGATATGTAAAAAAGTGTACACTCGTAAAGTAATGAACACAAATAAGAGCACGTAATGTGAATTAGAAACTAATAACTAATCGTGAATCGTTTTGATATCTGCAAGCTACCAACATGTACGCAACACTATAGAGTATCAACACTATAGTTTTAAATATGATCAAACAAGATTATCTTTTGACACCAAAACTGTTCATAATTGACATTTGTTTTAGTAAAATCAGGTAAAGCTAAAGCTTTGTTTCAAAGCTTTTCTTGAAATTTGTTTCACGTACATGCACGTCAATTATCGCTGCTTTTTGCTCTTTCATCCCAAATGTCAAGAGCTAATTTTTCTAGATCGTTGACGCACGTTGAAAAAAAGTCATAAACCATACTAAATCAATGCACAAAGAGGGGTTCCGGTCCAACATGTGTAATGAATCTTTACAATCCAATATCCTTGTTTTAACATCAATTACAGGCATTGCCTTCTTGAATATTTCGTTAGTGTATTTTGAAAAAACAGCAAGCCATTCTTCGTTTGACTTAAGTTCTTTGGATGCTTCGTCTGGAAGGTCAAATATCTGACGGTATTCCTCTATTTTCTTCACAACTACATTAAACTTAAAATTGGGATCAACCAGTGTAAAGATAGCATTAACACAAGCTGAAGTAGTAGCAGCTGCTTGAACTAAAAAAGTTGTAAGAAACATTGTGTATAATAAAATGAGTGATCATGCAGGTCGAAGTAAGAAAATTCTTGGAAAGATCTCGTTCTAGATCTTGTAAAACTGTAAAGATCTAGTAAGATTCAAAAACTCAAATCACATATAGGGAGGAAGAGATATCCAAGGATAAAAGAAAATAGAATATCTGCGTCAATATAGATTTTGTTAATAAATAACAAACTTTTGATCGACTTGGCCTTTCTTTTCATACAGTCACGTGTCAAGTTGGTCAAAGAAAGAATGAAGCATTCTCTTTTGCGATCATGTTACACCAATAAACATAACTAACATAATGCAACTAGCCAATTACATTTGGAAACATATGAATGAATGAATGAAAATCTTTATTTTGACACGTTGGCATCGTCAACTGGGGTTGATTTACGCGAGGGGCGTGTTTTTGTTCAAAAGCGATTACAAAAATTACTAAGAAATAGAATGACTATAGAAGAGAAAGATTAGTTTAAACGAAATATAGATATATACATGGGGAAGTTTAAACATGTGCTAGCTATCCACATCTATAAGCAACGCCTACCTACATTTAACGGGTGTTGTAAATGTTACACCAACTGAACTGATTTGACGTTTTTAGAAAAATCACCGAAGCATATTTTAGTATAAGTATAGTGTTGTTCCTTTAGGATAAATAAACAGTTTTGAGCAAACAAGCACTATAGGTTATGGTTAATTACGGCTGTTCTCAATTGCTGCATCCCAAATGTCAAGAGCAACTTTTTCCAGATCGTCAATGCCCTTTGAAGAAAAGTAAAAACCATAATGAACGACGTGAATGATGAAAATACCGCCCCCTGATTCGCAGCATTATCTAAAAGAAATTTCTCCAGATCAACAGTGTATTTTAATATGACAGCAGATGATTCTTTGCTTAATTCCTTTGATTCATTACGTTAATACGTTCTATGTTAAAAAGGTCAAATTCTGAATGATAAAGAGTTATTTCTTCTCTAACCAAAGCAAAGTTGAACGATTTAGGTCCGAATATAGGAACAAGACCAGTGTTTTCAAAACCTGATGCAATAGCTGCCATGGCTGCTCCAACTAAAATTTATAAAAAATATTCAATGAAAATTAGTTATCATGCAGGTGGAATAACAAAACTCTACTTAGAATCTTCTCATTAAAAAAAGTTTTTAGACGACCAGTGTCGTTTCCTTTTAAATATAAGTTAATAAAATCATGTATGACTGGCTACTTTAATGTACATTATTTCTTATAGATAACAAACCTTTCAATAACTTGGCCTTTCTTTTTATGCAGTCACGTGTCACATTGGTCAAAGAAAGAATGAGGCTTGCTCTTTTACGTTCGGGCAACTTTGAAGAGATAGATTGAATCAAACAATCAAAATCATATTTCTCTTTAATCTTATTATCAATCAAGAAGATATCTTTCTCATCGTGAATCAAACCTTCCAGGTTTTTCATACAATTTTCCCTCATACGCCTCATGACAGATGCTTCATTAAAATTTGGTCCGTTGTCATCCTTCGCATTCTTGAGGTCGGTGTCAACATTGGTGCGAACAAAAAAGAAAGGTTTGTTGAGCTCTTTTGAAACTTTCTCAGCCAACTCTTTGTCATAATGAATGAATCGTGTTTTAAATAAAATAAGAAAGGCATCGTACTTCTCTAGACCACCAACTTTCTTACAGTACTCTTTATAATTCGGGTATGCAGGCGTTCCAATATCAGGAAGTTCCCAGAAAATTATGTTTTCATTTTTTCGATGAACATATTCAGTGGGAACATTGGTTTGTTCATTAACATCAACTGCTGCAGCTCCCTGTTCGTAAGCTTTGAGTCTACAAATGATAATTCATTATTAAAGGTCGTCATTGCGCACTGAGCTATGTTCTTTTTCTGTACATACAAGATCATAATTTAAAACAAAAATATTCCCAAATGCATTGTTATTTTAAAGAAAAGGCTGTCAAACGTTTTATGACTGGCTATGTTATACTCCTTTCAATACACTTAAAGATAGTTACTCTCTCACAGCATTGATAAAAGATGATTTTCCAGTTCCCGAATTTCCCGTTATGGCAGTAACTATCTTTATCTCTTTCATCAAATTTATTTGACGACGATAAATATCACCAATTCCTGAACTACTATAGCTATCATCCCTATACTTCCCTT